TATCTATCTATCTATCTATCTATCTATCTATCTATCTATCTATCTATCTATCTATCTATCTATCTATCTATCTATCTATCATCTATCTAACTATCACCTCTGCCAGTCTGTCTATCTGTCTATCTATCTATATTCCACACAGCATACAAAATAGGAAAAGTCATTTCCACAAAATGCAGAACGGCACATCAATTCTGTAAGCAATCCATTAAAAAAAACCCCAAGAATTCATTGCTGAAAACTCCGATCCAACATGCCAGCCCTTGGGGTTTCTGTAAATTGTCCAAAGCTTATACAAAAAGTCCTCGACTTACAACCATTCCTTTAGTGACCGTTCAAAAACAGACTGAAAAAAGTTTTTTTTCACACTTATGACTCTTGCGACATCTCTGTGGCCACATGATTAAAATTCGGGTGGCTGACTCATATTTATAACGGCCACAGTATCCCAGGTCATGTGATTTCCCTTTTGCAACCTTCTCACAGGCAAAATCCAAGGGGAAGCCAGATTCACTTAACAACCGCGTGACTAACGTAACAACTGCAGCGATTCACTGAACGACGGCGGCAAGGAATGTCGCGAAACAGGTCAAAATTCGCTCAATGCAAGCAGAAATCTTGGGGGAGGGGGCTCAATGACGGTCGCAAGTCGAGGACTACCTGTAGTGCCAACGGCCACTGCGCCAATAGTTACAAATCCCAGCAAAACATGCACGATTTTGTCCGGATAACGCAACTCTTTAGCACAGGCCTTGCAAACCTACGATAGCCTACCTGAGAAAGGATTTATCACAATGTTTTTGAGGCATCCTGAACAGGGAAGGGAGAGAAGGGAAAAAAGAAGGGAAATTGAAGTGGAAACAATGACCCGTAAAAGGACGCCAGAGCTACGGAGCGTGAAACTTAATCGCGAAGGTGTTTAGCAAGAGGCCAGCAGAAAGTGGGACAATCACAGAAGGGATGCTGGGATGCTGGCCGGGTTAATCTCGCTTCCTGACAAGAAGTCTCCTCCAATCCCTCTTAAGGGGATCAAAGAGATTCCAGGAAATCATGGCTGTGTCCTGCAGGGCTAAGCACAAGATCATCCTCCTGGCTCCCGATTCGGGGTCATTTGCCAAAGCGAAGCTTGCTTTTCTTGTCTGCGGCCTCCCTGAGAAGGCTGACAAAGTCGTTAAGTGAGGACTACGGGTTAATGCCGGTGGAGGAATTCTGAGGAATGGCAGGCGGCTGTGAGGTAGAAGCTGGGTTGAACAAATCAGAAATATCAGGAGGTTCCTAAGCCGCCTGGGAAAGCCAAGGGAAATCATTGAAACCATCAAAAAGCGAAAAGTTAGAATATTTCGGACTAGGGATGCGACACCTGGAAAAACACGGAATCCTTCGCATAATCCTCCCGGGAAAGATTGAAGGCAAAGGAGGTCCAGGCAGAAGAAGAACATCATGGTTTCTAAAATCTAAGGGACCAGTTTGGACAAAACTCAGCAGCAGTTTTTTGTTGATCAAAATGGGAGGAGGAGGAGAAGGAGAAAGAGAAGAAGGGGAAAAGAAGGAGGAGAACGAGGAGGACGAGGACGAGAAGGAGAAAGAGAAGAAAAAGAAAAAAAGAAAAAAGGGAAAAGGAGGATGAGAAGAAGGGGGAAAGGAGGAGGAGAATGGAGGAGGAGGAGGAGGAGGGAAAAGGAGGAGAAGATGAAGAAAAGAAGGAGGAGGAGACAAGAAGGAGGAGATGAAGAGGAAGAGAAAGAGGAAGAAGAGGAAAAGGAGGAGGAGGAGAACGGAGGAGGATGAGACGAAGAAGAAGAAGAAGAAGAAGAAGAAGAAGAAGAAGAAGAAGAAGAAGGG